TTCTCATCCATGTGAAAGTCTAATAGCAGAAAAAATTCCTCATCGCAACTCAGTCCCACGTAAAACTGCATGAAACACCAGAATTCAAGATAACTCAAGTAATATTAATAGATTCATGGACAAAATATACGACATAATAAACTTGACACAGAATTTATGCAACGTAATCTTCCTTTACACAATACACCACAAAAGACTGTTAAATTTAAGTGTCCAGGTATTTTAATGATTTTAATCTCACTCACATATTGATGCCTATTTGGAATTAGTTTTACTTAAATGTTCTTAAGGCATTGATTTTCAAAGTGTGAGTTCCAGAGCAACAGCAACAGCATCACTTGGGAACTGGATAAAAATGCAAATTTTCAACCCCATCCCAGACCCAATGAATCAGAAAATCTGAGGGTAGAGTCCATCAATCTGTATTTTATAAGCCCCAGGTGATTCTGATGCACACCAAAGTTCTGAAGCCATTGTGTTAATATTTAAGCTTTGATGATCTATGGCCACAGACTCCTAGAATAAGCCTTCACAACCATGTGACCAAAATCCTCAACCACATTGTGAATTACGTGAATTCTAGGACATGATCCCTTCATTTTATTCCTAGTGCCTTCCATAAAGTAGACACTCCATAAATCAGCCAATGTGTAGCTGATGACAAGACTTATACCGATAGCCTATTAACTCTTCTCTCAACAGTTCTTTCTGGGATTATTCAAGTTAAAGCCATTTCTCTCCTTATTCCCATCCTTCTAAAAATCAAAAACATGGGTGATATTTAAGAAGAACATTTTCTGGAAGGTCTTAATTAAACTTAAAACTAATCAATAAAAATGAGCCAAGTGCTTATTTCAGATAACTTTTACAAAGATGTGTAAGACACTGTTCTTGTCCTCAACATCTTAAAACCTAGTTAACAGCCTATGAAACTATACAAAATTAATCAATATTTCCAAACCTATGAGATAGTGAACATAAAACACCTGGGACAGTGCCTGGCACATGCTAAGTAGTCAATAAATATGATCAATTATCTGTCATTATATGTCAAGAGTTAATAAAGGCAGTATATACTTTAAGAGTTTAGGAGAGTGAAAGATGATCAGTTCAGGCTGGGACCTTCAATGGAGCCTGGACTGTTTCTCACAAAACAAAATCTACCAAAGCTGGGTCTGTTTTGGCCAAATCAAGATTATGTAGGGCACTAGTGGTCACTGAAGTAAACTGGTGCCTCTATGGCCCTGATTAATCAGGAGGCAGAGACTCTGCTACTAGTAGCCTGAGGAAGGTATACTGAGGAGTACATGTACTTCCTCTCAAATTCTCAAGAGGAATTTCTGGATTCTACATTTTTAGAAATGTACAGAGTCAACCCCTGGCCTCTGAGAATTTAAAATTGATGATTTTGATTGTTCTGCTTAAACTCAAAGGTTTTAACAAACAGTAATTTATAATTTGGGGAAGGTACAAATTCAAATCAGCAGTGCTCTGAGGCTATGTAGAAGTCAGACCTTCGTTAATTAGAAAGCTTAATCAACTGGTGACCCAACACATCTTTGTAGCTCAGTATTCATATATGAAGTATGGTACTAGCTATATATAAATGGGATTTTCTTAAGGCTAAACTTTTTCTCTTTGCTGATTCAGGTAGGTTCTTGACTAATATTACAGCAATAATACCTAATAATAATAGTAAGCATTCATTAAGCATTTATATGCTCTTTGCATACCTTACTGCATTTAATCCTTTTCAGTAACTCCATAAGGTAGGTAATATTTATCATCATCCCCATTTTACAGAGAAGAGAAGTGACAGGGAGGCTAAGTAACGTAAGGTTGGTCAGATAGTCAATAAATGGTGAACCTAGATTTTTTAAAGAATATTTTCAGTAATTCTAAAATGTTCTCTATCAGTTGAAATAACAGCTGCTTTAAAAAGTACTTAAGCAAAACATGTTAAGATTTTCATCGGCTTGGTAAAAATAAGCACCAGGGCTATCAGTTTGGTGGAGTGTCTTTCAGGCCACTTCTTACTCATTTACAGTATTTACCTATATACCCTTGGCTCCATCTACATTTTTATTTTTTCTAAGACAGAGTCTCGCTCTGTTGCCCAGGCTAGAGTGCTGTGGCGTCAGCCCAGCTCACAGCAACCTCAAACTCCTGGGCTCAAGCAATCCTACTGCCTCAGCTCCCAAGTATCTGGGACTCAGGCATGCACCACCATGCTTGGCTAATTTTTTTTTCTGTCTATTTTTAGTTGTTCAGATAACTTCTTTCAATTTTTAGTAGAGACGGGGTCTTGCTCTTGCTCAGGCTGGTCTCGAACTCTTGACCTCTAGCGATCCTCCTGCCTCGGCATCCCAGAGTGCTAGGATTACAGGCGTGAGCCACCGCGCCTGGCTCATCTACATTTTTAACACAATTTATATACGCTACATTTTGTTCTACAGTTTGCCTTTTTCAATATGTCTTGGAAAGCTTTCAGTCACCAGATACAGATTTATTATGTTCTTTTATTTACTTCTGGAATTATATATAAAAATTTAGTCAGGTATTAATCTTTCTAGTTTTTAAAATGGGTTTAGTCCTTTAATTTATAAAATCATTAAAGATCTTTTACATCATTTAAGTTTTACAGTAATATTTCACTGTATTTTCTGGGTAATAATACACACTATACAGTAGTACAGCATGCAGTAAACACGGTAATAGTAATGAATGACCAACTTTATCGATTAAAGGAAAGATGAGGCTGTGTGTGGTGCCTCATATCTGTAATTCTAGCACTCTGGGAGGCTGAGGCAAGAGGATAGCTTGAGGTCAGGAGTTTGAGACCAGCCTGAGCAAGAACGAGACCCTGTCTCTACCAAAAATAGAAAAAAATTAGCTGGGCGTGGTAGCATGAACTGTTAGTCCCAGCTACTCAGGAGGCTGAGGCATGAGGCAGGAGGATCGCTTAAGCCCGAGTTTGGGGTTGTGCTGAGCTATGATGATGCCACTGCACTCTAGCCGGGGGGACAGAGCAAGACTCTGTCTCAATCAATCAATCAAACAATAAGTAAATAAATTAAAAAAAAAAAAAGGAAAGATGAAGGGGAGAGTGGGTAAGAGCATCCCAAAGGCAATAATAACCGAGAATAATGTCATAAGCAATGAACAAATATTCTTTTTTAATTAGCTACATCACACCACTTTTTTATGATTTTTCTTCAACTTAACAGAGTCATTTCAAAGATAAATAAAATCTGAAGTCAAGTTCAGTTGTACAGTGGCATGAATTACGAAATGGGATTGTATCTGTTTAAATTTTAAATCTAATCTGTTCTTTTGTATTCTTCAAAGAATAAATGGTAGATCTAAATGGTAGATCTAAAATGTAAGAAAAAATGTTTTAACTAAAAGAAAAAGCCAGTAAGAATGTCTCTGAATCACTTGGTTACTTTCCTGATACATTCATTGTTACATGATACTTTAATATGAGTATATTTATTTAATGTACTAGATTTGCTTGAATCAAGATATTTCTAAAAGTCATGTCTTTAAAATCTTAAAAGAGAGATTAAATCCTGAAGATTAGAACAATAAGACTGAATGACAACATCGACTAATTCTGTAATTCTCCTGAAGTTTATTGACAACCCTGCACTGCCCTATCAGCAGTTTCCAGGCTTCCCTCATGGGCACTGCCCAAGAGACTTCCCATCTTTTTGGTCCTAAGTCTTAATTGTGAATTTCTTATAGACCATAACCTCTGCATGAAGGTTTTGCCTGGTCGCTGGGCTGCTTCAAACCGTGCCAGGGAGGATGATGAAAGCCTAGCCCATAGGGTCCATACTTTGTCCTTTGATCCTTTGGGCACATCCTGAGTTATCTTTCCGAATGTCTTGCTTTTGCTTTTTTAGAGACCTGGTCTGTATTTCAATTTCAAATCCAGACACATGTGTGTTCAGAGAAACCTTGGGTTTCTTCATATTAGGCTTGAACTTCACAATGAAACATACGGAAAAGAAGAGCATGATACCAAAATGCCACATACAAATGTCTGCCTCACATATTCATATTGAAAAATGGTAGTCATTCCTCCTGGGAAAAATAAATCCCATTTAAATTTACTTCCAAATTCTTTAAGACACTAGGATCTGTTTAATCCTTTCTGACTTACAAGTTTTAAGAAAAATCTAAACAAAAAGAATATATAGGACTCTTGCCTTAAGGTTCCTTCTTCCAGAGGGGATATTTATAATAATGCTCTCTCAGTTGCTTCTTCCTCCTACATTTAATATTGACCAAATCTAGTGACAGAAACAGGCTATACTTTTTCATTTAGCTTAGAAGAATTTTAAGGTCTAATTCCCAATAAAAATATTCTTACTATTTTTTTAGGCATTTGTCCAATTTAATTTGTATGGCTAAGACAAGGAACATGTAAGTATGTTACAAGGTTTAAAAACTGTAAGATATAGGCCAGTTACAGTGGCTAACACCTGTAATCCTAGCACTCTGAGAGGCCAAGGTGGGAGCATAGCTTGAAGTCAGGAGTTTGAGACCAGCCTGAGCAATAGCGAGACTCTGTCTCTACTAAAAATAGAAAAAATTAGCCAGATGTGGTGGCACATGCCTGTTGTCCCAGCTACTTGGGAAGCTGAGGAAAGAGGATCACCTGAGCCCAGGAGTTTGAGGTTGCAGTGAGCTATGATGATGCCACTGCACTCTAGCTGGGGCAACAGAGTTAGACTCTGTCTCCAAAAAAAAAAAAAACAAAAACTGTAAGGTATAATATCTCCTGTTGAATATTCCAAAAACTATACTAGATATTTACACATAAGCAGAGATTAAAAGTTCATTTCTCCAATGCTTTGCAGGTTAAGCACATGCTTGAAAGACAAACATTGTTAGTAAAGCTATGTGCAGTTGGTTAATAGAACTCATGAAACCACCATTACCAACACTTCTGCATACAGAGCATGCGTGGGTTGCAGAATGGGCCCTGATACCTTTAGTTCTTTAAGCCCCTGCATGTATCTCCCTTCTACATCCTGTATCTGGTCCTTAAGGTCATAGATATCCTGCAGGACATAGGAATGAACCATTGCATAAAACCATGCACAAACATATCTTAAGTCTCAAAGAAATCAGATGAAATGTAACTTGCTTTTGTATACTCCAGAAGAGAAATACAAATACAAAAACATAACTCCTACTCCAAACCACTGAAAGGGGCAAACAGGTCAGATGATAGTGGGGCTGAGATGAAGTCTGGAGTAATCAATCCGGTGTTAAACACTGTCTTGGTATTAAATTCTATTGAAAACAACATAGCAAATGGGGGCAGGGCTGTATATGGAAAAAAGCTATATAAATTATAACATTTTTTAACACACAATTCAAATTTTTTAAATCATTTAAATAATTTTAAGCATAATGTTTTACATAGAACTAGCAAAATATATATAGTAAATTAATTGTAAGCAGCAAATTTTACTAATTCATGCTTAAGTTTTAAAAAATATAATACAGGATATAAACAAAGTTATCTTTCAATGACTTGGCTACTGACTACAATTAACTTGGAAGAAAAGAAGTAAAGGGAGGCAAATTAAACACAAGCATTTTGAACATGATGTCAAATGAAATATTCTATCCCAAGAACACCATTTAAATGAGAATTAAAACAATGAAAAAGCATATGCTCCAAATGTTACCATAATCCTTATAAGAAAAGTTAAACAGGTCAAATTTTAAATGGAAAATTTTGTTTCCCTTCTACCTGACCCTGTTATATAAGGTTTATTCTGGATGCCTGTTTTAGGTGGGAAATAACTGCCACAGGCCCCTAAATATTAATACAATTCTGCAATTATGGACAGGATCAATTATTAAAGGTTGATTATACACATTTTTGGTATTATACTTTCCCTGCCCCCTTCATTCCCTCCCTGGTGTGTTGGTCTGTCTTTTACTCATTGATTCAGTCAACAGACATTTACAGAGGGCCCATTAGGAGCGAGGTGCTAGGATACAAAAATCTCACTTCCTTCAAGAAGGTCATTCTCTCATGAAAGAAAAGTAAGCAACAAGTTGTGTGACAGAAGCAAGCTAAGTCTAAGGCTGGAAGGCCTGTCCTTGTGTCCTTTTGTCCGACTAGAATGTAGCACCTAAAGGCAAGAATTTATCTTATTCAACTTTCTACCTCCAGCACTTATGCCTAGTACATAATAAGAGCTCAATAAATAATGACACTGGCCAGGCACAGTGGCTCATGCCTGTAATCCTACTACTCTGGGAGGCCAAGGCAGGAGGATTGCTTGAGGTCAGGAGTTTGAAACCAGCCTGAGCAAGAGTGAGACCCCATCTCTACTAAAAATAGAAAAATTAGCTGGGAGTTGTGGCACACGCCTGTAGTCCCAGCTACTCAGGAGGCTGAGGCAGGAGGATCACTTGAGCCCAGGAGTTTGAGGCGGCAGTGAGCTATGATGACACCACTATACTCTAGACTGGGCAATAGAGTCAGACTCTGTCTCCAAAAAATAAAATAAAATAAATAACAATAATAACGACACCTTCAAAGTCATGCCCATGCTGGCCTGGGTCAGCTCTCCTTCTCTGCTACTGTTATAAACCTCTCCATCTTCCCCTAACCCCCAGCCAACTTTCACAGGCAGCCCATTTCACAAGCCAGACTCCTCTTCCTATCCTACCCACACAATCTTAGTCATCACCTGTCCCTAACTCGTCTACCATGTCAGTGGGAGGTGACCTCCAGTCTAGTTAAGCTCATCCATCTGAGCCCTGGACTCTCCTCTCACTCACTCTGCTGTTAGTTACCCTCTCTCCTTCCTCAACCTTCAACTTCTCTCTCTACTGGCCCAATCCAACCAATGAAAATAATAATCTCACCTTTAAAAGAAAGCAAAAACCTTCTCTTAAACTTCTCTATATATCTATTGCCCAACCAACTCCCAGTCTCATATTCACTTCAGAGCTAGTTTCTTACATTTTCTCCCCTCACAGTTTTGACTTCCTCACTTCATTCTCATTGTTCAACCACAGGGTTACTATTCTCCTGGCCTCCAATGCTTCCTCCAACCTGTGTTCAAAGTTATTAAGAATGCAAATCACTCGCCTATGTAATATCCCATAGTTGTCAGGGTAAAACTGAATTCCTTTCAGGCTAGCATACAAGACACTTTGTGATTTGGCCACTTGCTACTTCTCCAGCCTTCTCTCTCACTCACCACTACTACTCACTTCACTTCACATCTTATCCTCTGGCAACTTTGCTGTACAGATAACTTGCTGGCTCTCTGAATGCATCTCTCTCTCTCTCTGAGAAAGCCTTTCTCTTTCAATTTCTTTGCCTGGTTAATTTTTCTTCTTCCTTCAAACCTTAGCCCAGAGTTTGGGTTTTTTGAAAAGTCTTTTGTTATCTCTTCTCCTAGTCCAATTTACATGACACTTTTCTGAACTACCTTAGCCCCATTCTTGCTACCACCATAGTATCACACCACCTGGTTTTATTGGTTAGTATCAGTTTGTTTTCCCTATGAGACAGTAACCTCCTGAAGGCCAGAATGTGTTTTGCTATCTAAATCTTCAGGGCCAAGTGCTCAATAAATGTTGAATGAATGAATGAATTAAGGCAATTTTTCTCACTACCCTTCCCCCATTCCTCACAAATAGCAGGTTCAGCAAATAAACATTCAAATATATTTTTTAAAGTTCTCATCTTCCAAATAAAAAGGTTAATAAGGGCCAGGCACAGTAGCTCACACCTGTAATCCTAGTATTCTGGGAGGCCAAGGCAGGAGGATCACGTGAGCTCAGGAGTTCAAGACCAGCCTGAGCAAGCCAAAGACCCCGTCTCTACTAAAAATACAAAAAATTAGCTTGGCATGGTGGCGCATGCCTGTAGTCCCAGCTACTCAGGAGGCTGAGGCAGAAGGATCACTTGAGCCCAGGAGTTGGAGGTTGCCCTGAGCTATGATGAGGCTACTGCACTTTAGCCCAGGCAACAGAGCAAGACTCTTGTCTCCAAAACAAAAAAAAAAGGTTAATAAAGACAGAGATTCAACTAACGGGTCAATTAAGCTTTTCATTATCTCAGGTATTTCTGTTACCCAAATACTATGACACTTCTAATACTATGAAATGCTGAGAGATAACTGTATTCTAGCAGCCAAATAACATCATAATGGCTCAAAAGTCTGGGACCAGGTGCAGCAACTCGTGCCTGTAATCCCAGCACTTTAGGAGGCTAAGGCAGGAGGATCGCTTGAGCCCAGGAGTTCAAGACCACCCTGGACAACATAGTGAGATCCCATCTCTACCAAAAAAGATAAAATTAGCCAGTGATAGTGGAGTGTACCTGTAGTCCCGCTACTTGGGAGGCTGAGGCAGGAGGATCCCTTGAGCCCAGTAGTTACAGTGAGCTATGATCATGCTACTGTACTCCAGCCTGGGCCACAGAGCAAGACCCTGTCTCTAAAAAACCCAGTAAAACAAAAATAAAATTTAAAAGTTCCCATGGTCTGGTTCATTGTATATCCACATATTTTCCATTTAAAATATGGCCAATTCTGATAGAATTACTTTTACATACATTACAAAGTTTTTTTGGCATTTATAAATCAGCAGAACTCGTTCCAATACAATCAAATTTTCAGGAAAGAAAAAAGAATTAATGAATCTCCTTCCCTTTCAGGCTCTGAAACACCTGAGTCATATTTTTTAACTGTATTAACAATGTTTTTGAAAAGAACTCATATTCTTTCTTTCTACTAAGTCGCACTAAATGTTAAAAGCTCCAGTATACTACCAAGCCAAAAGACTGCTTTTTAAAAACCAAAAGCTGTGGTTTACCCGCAATTCACTTAATGAGGTGTCTGGATCTATCAAGCTGCTGGTGTCCCCGCTTCCTCGTCTGGATGAGTTTCCACTTAAAGGGGTTGTTGCCGAGGCAGAATTTCGAGATGAAGGCTAGAGAGAAAGAAATATGACACTTCTAAGTCTTGTTCCTTTAAAAATGTTTGCTGTGGGAACTAAAAATGGGGCAGGGTGGTGGGGGCAGATGTGGGCATCAGGTAAGGAAGTTACCAAGTACAATCAATGGGCGATTTAGATTGGTTTTGGGGGAGGAGGTATCCAGAGAAGGGCCCAGCCCTACTAAGCATGATTTCATTAACTCAAACACCTTATCAGAATCTAGAATTCATGATAGCCAAAAAGGAAACAGTTTTTATGGGAGTTGTTTCTTTTCTAAGTTTATCTTTGCTCTACTATAAACAGCACTGGGGTGAGTACATCAGATTAATTTAAAGCAATTTTAGAAATTTACAACTGGTGTGATAGTTAGCCCTTCCCTATTTAGTTCCTGAAACTGCTTCTCAAAAATGTCCTTTTTTTCTAATACTTTGTTGATAAAGACGGAGATACTATTTGCAGCTAAAGCAGCAACACTGTGTATTGCTATGAATTTATACTGCTCTTCTCAAAATTAGTTTAAACATGAGATTATGCTATTGATTAATAAACAGCATGGATCTGTGATGTCCAATATACTAGCCATTGGCCACATGAAGCTATTGAGCACTTGAAATGTGGTTAGTCCAAATTGAGATCTAGTGTAAAATACATACCAGATTCTGAAAGCTTAGTGTGGAAAAAAGAATGAAATATATCTCATTAATAATTTTTCGTATTGACTATATGTTGAAATATTTTGGGATATTTGGGTTAAATAAAATATATTACTTAATTTTACCCGTTTCTTTTTACTTTTTTAATGTGGCTACACTTGTAAGCATACATGTAAGTTCGAATTTTTATGGGACAGAGCTGATTTATCTTTCTTGGGTGTAGCATAAAATTAATCCTGATAAACCATTTCCCTAACTGACTTTCTAAAAATATTTTTAGAAGTAAGAGACTTTAACAGAAAGCAACTCCTAGAAAGAGTTATTTTACTTCAAGAAATATCTTATCTAGAAAAGCATAAAAAAAAGTCTCAGACTTTGTCACCACCATTTCTAAAGATATATCATTCTCAGTATTTAATCACTTCTTCTCAGGATCAATTTCTAGAGGAATGAAAATCAAAAGAGCAGCCAAAAGCTTAAGAGGTGACATTCAAGGAAATAAAATGCAGTATCTTTTCTGTTCCCAGAGCTTCACATGATTTAACTTCGGAGGAATTTTGGAGGGTCAAGGACAGGAAATAGATGAGGGAGGAAGAGTAACTCCATCGGACCAATTGTTGTAAAATAAAGAATGAACAAGTCATAGATAATAAGTTTAATTGACCCTGAGAATTTAATTCCCTTAGGAATTTATATATACTCACTCTGGTATAATTTTCAGCATACTGTTTGTCAGATTTTTCATCCAACTAGAAAAGAACAGAGATAAAAATCAGGAAAAATGCTTAACATGGTGACTTTTTAGGGGGAAAAAAATAAATGATCTTATTTGAATTCTCCAAATTCACTGATGTTTGAAACCTAAAAATAAACATACTAAACTGAAATAAAAAATTCAGTTTCACATAAGACAAAATGTCAAGAAGTTTACTTCTTATCCTTAAAAAGGCACAGAGTAAGCAAGCTGTATTTACGCAAAAGTTTAAAACTTTTAGATAAATTTTCTTTTCATGGTATTTAAAATACATTAAAGAAAGCTATTTATAAATTCAAGTTTTAGCACTGCAAATGTTAATACAAAAAACACTTCTACATATCAAAAGAAAAAGTCTGACAAAACCAAAAGCCAAAAAACTTTATTTCTAAACATTATTAGGACACAGGACACATAGATAAGACTAGTACACTTAGCCAAAAAAGTTCAGACTGGAGTAAATCATGTTAGATATCATCAAACCATTTTCCCCCACATCATTAAGGATTTTTTGGGTTTTGTTTTTTTAAGTAATACATGCACACATGGCCAAAGGGAAAAAAAATCAAACAGCACAGAAGACTATGTTAGGCCTCTCTCCCTACCACAGCATACCCTGACCACCAATCTTCAAGGGCAACCAACTCCCCAGTCTTTAAAAAATTCTAACAGTGTACACCACACACATCCTGTATCTTCTTTTCCCCCTTACCAAGTCTCAAAGATTTGAGAAAGTACTTCATTTTTCTTCAAAGCATTTATCATTCCCTGACACTATGATATTTATTCATTATTTGTTGTCCGATCTCTCTCAATGTAAGCTCTATGACTGTATTTTCTTTTCTGTATTCCTAGGACCAAGAATGGCTCCTAGCAAAGAACTCAAAATGTGTTGGATAAGTGAATAAATCATACCCCATTGGTACTAATAGACTTACCTTATTTATTTTAACAGCTACACAGTAGCCTATTATGTCAACTTATCATAACTGAATTAATCTATCTTATGTTCACAGGCCTTAAGGTTGCTGTTTCAGACAGTGTTTCAAGACGGGAGGTGCCTTAAAAGTCTAATTTAAAACCCTGACTTTATAGCTAAGGAAAATAAAATTCAGAAGTGAAAGATGCTACTGAAGGTTAAACAACTACCAAATGTCAGAGCATTCACCAACCTTAGTTTTGTGAATTTTAATTCCAGTGTTCATACTATTTACCTGCATATACTATCTCGACTACTACTAGGGGAAAAAAGTCACAAAGGGATTTAAATAAACTCCAACTCCTAAACCAACCTTCTTGGCTCGATATACAGATAAGATCTCAAAATCTTCCTCAGTTAATTAGTGAAACATGGAAGTCATTATTTCTGGCTCTACTCACATCACTTGACTTTAACTTCCTCATATTTGAAAGTTTTTAGTATTCTTTTTATTACCCACATTCGTGTTTATGAACACCTTTTATTATGATAAGTACCAGATCAGTAATACAAATACTGTTTTTATATATTTAACTTTTTGTTACTTCTTGCTATAATACGCTCAAAACAAAATTGACTTTAGTTGATTTTGATTTTTTTAAAGAACATATGAAATATTTTAAAACAGATAACGACAGTGGTCGAAATTTGTTTTTTAATATTTATTACCATAAAAAGGAATAATCCTCCATCACATCTGTACTAGTAAAATGTATTACCTAATATTTAATGTGTTATTCTTCAAGGTGAAAGAAATATCTGAATAACTACTTATTTTCCTCAGAGTATTTTCCAACTCTTTTCTGCTAATGAGTTAAAAAAGAAAAGCAAACAGCATTCAAAATTAAAACATTCTTTTAAGTTTATTTGAAATCCTTTCTCCATACCCACCTCTCACAAAAATGACCCCCAAACCCACCCATTTTTTTAACAGAATGTCACCTTGGAATAATCTTACATTTCAGAGGTTGCATCACTGAACTAGTCCATGGCAACGTTGATTCTATCGCTTTCACTGTCTTCTGACAGATCCCAATTGTCGCAACCCACACTGATCATGCGTCAAACCTCAGGGATTGTTAAGCCAGCAAAAAATGCCAAGAGCAGCCATGCCGCAGTCCACTTATTTTGGCTGCAGTGACTTGGCCAGAGATTCTTCAGTTCTTACTTCTGAGACTTGTGCTATATTATGGACTGTCTTCCATTTAGATAAAAAGCTAGCTGAAACCTGGTATTCTAAAAGTCTCAGGGGATCCGATAGCCAGGAGGTCTACGTAGCTACGTTACAATGACAAACTAATGTTCGTGATGTTGACAGAGTCTGCCAGATCCTGAAAAAGCTTTGTAAATGAAATAAAATTTAATCATATTTACTATATCAAGGTACTAAACTGTAGTTTAATAAAGTATTTATTGTGTAGTTTGTGCAATGTAGTCACTGGATCCTAATCCTTTGCTAACTTCTAATTTACATATACTGACTTGATAAGGCTATTCAAAAATTGTTTGAAAAAATATCTGATACACCAACCACAGGAAAGAAGAGACCAATCAATTTTAATAATTTCCTAAAGCAAAAATGGCTGAAGAAATGGGTTTAATTATTAATAATCAGCAAAATTTAAGTTAGCACATTTACATGTTTCCTTTACTCTAGCTTGACTTACAGAACTGAAACAAAGCCAATGCAAAAGAAAACAGGAGGCTAGAGTCCATAAATATTATATAATCTTGCAGAAACAGGGGCCAGAACCCTTTTTCAGAACCTCCTAGCTCAGAAGTTATAAAGTATCAGCCTGAAAACAAATATTTGGTCCACAATGAGGTAGCCATAAAATGTCTTATAACTAAATTCATTGTCAGCATTTTAAAATCAGTCGCCTTAAAAAAAAAATAAAAAGTAGAAGGAGAAGGAGACATTTACCAACATCAAGTCCCCTTTTTATTTGTCTACAAGATGAGCTGAATTACAGCATACCCTTTAAAAGAAATACTATTAGTTTTTTGCTCTGGAGAGGGGACTAGCAAATATTTTAGGCTTTGCCAAGAGACAAAATTAAGGATGTTATAAAGGTACTTACATAACCACTTAAAAATATAAAACCCAGTGCCTTGCAAGCTGTAAAATAATAAGGGGCTGGAGAGATTTGAAACCCCTGCTCTACAAAATCTTTTGCTTATGTTAGGCACATTTAATCAATAGAGATGGGGAGATTTTAAAAACCGTCTTTTGGGCAAGGTGGCTCACACCTGTAATCGCAGCACTCTGGGAGGCCCAGGCGGGAGGATCGCTTGAGCTCAGGAGTTTGAGACCAGCCTGAGCAAGAGCGAGACCCCGTATCTACTAAAAGTAGAAAAAAATCAGCCGTGCACCCACGCCTGTAGTCCCAGCTACTTTAGAGGCGGATGAGGCAAGAGGATCACTTGAGCCCAGAAGTTTGAGGTTGCAGTGAGCTATGATGTACACCACCACACTCTACCTGGAATGACAGAGTGAGACTATGTCTCAAAAAATATATAAACAAAAAAGATAAATAAATAATAAATTAATAAAAACTGTCTTTTTCAGTTCCATGTAGTCTCTAAAGTAAAGCACCAAGAAATAAATGTAAGTAGGACATAACCACTAATTCAGACACAAATTAAAGGCTGATAGAATTCAAGGCTTTTAAGAAAAGAGGTGTATACAATAAATTTAGTTGTCGATGCCTATGGAGAAAAAAAGAGATTACTAAGCAAATTAATAAAAAGGGCAATTATTTCCAGGGAATGACTTGGGATTCTTCTAACTTTGTATGCAGAGAGAGTCCTTGAATCGACCCACAGCAAGATGATATATTGCTGTGGGTTGCACGGCCAGACTTGAGAACCAATGATCTGGAATCCACACTTGAAAGTATTTTCTAAGATTAAAATAGTCCAGAAATAGCTATTTAAATACAACTAGTTAAGTGCCAATTATAAATAATTATCTCTTCATTAAAACGTTATGTCTAATTTTTCTTTAAGAAATACCAGGCCAGGCGCGGTGGCTCACGCCTGTAATCCTAGCACTCTGGGAGGCCGAGGCGGGTGGATCACTCAAGGTCAGGAGTTTGAGACCAGCCTGAGCAAGAGCGAGACCCCATCTCTACTAAAAAATAGAAAGAAATGATCTGGACAACTAAAAAAAAATATATATATATAGAAAAAATTAGCCGGGCATGGTGGCGCATTCCTGTAGTCCCAGCTACTCGGGAGGCTGAGGCAGAAGGCTTGCTTGAGCCCAGGAGTTTGAGGTTGCTGTGAACTAGGCTGACGCCACGGCACTCACTCTAGCCTGGGCAACAAAGCGAGACTCTGTCTCAAAAAAAAAAAAAAAAACCTCTCTGGCCGGGCGCGGTCACGGGCTCACGCCTGTAATCCTATCACCCTTGGAGGCTGAGGCGGGTGGATCATTTGAGCTCATGAGCTCAGGAGTTCAAGACCAGCCTGAGCAAGAGCGAAACCCTGTCTCTACTAAAAAAAAAATGAGAAAGAAATTAGCTGGACAACTAAAAATATATACAGAAAAAATTAGCCGGGCGTGGTGGCGCATGCCTGTAGTCCTAGGTACTCGGGAGGCTGAGGCAGGAGGATTACTTGAGCCCAGGAATTTGAGGTTGCTGTGAGCTGGGCTGACATCATAGCACTCTACCCTGGGGCAACAGAGTGAGACTCTGTCTCAAAAAAAAAAAAAAGAAATACCACCTCTCATCCTCTCGAAAGTGCTTGACAATCAGGACATCATTGGTCCATGGGCAAAACAACATTAATGCCAGTAATGGAGGGTGTCACTGAGAGAAAATCAGCCTGTTACTGAGAACAGTAGGCAGATCCTAATTTGCTGGCTGGAGTTTATTCATTAAAACAAATGCACTGAGGTATATCTATCGGACAATTTTTCCTAAATTCACTTCCCCATGAATGTGAAAGCAATGGATAGGCACACTTCAAAGCAATGCCATAATCCAAATGTTTAAAATCTATTCAGATTCTTCCCAGTTACTAGAAATTAATGACACTTTACTGAAGAGTTTATTATTCAATTTTCAAATCCTACCTATAACTTTATAGACTCATTGAAACCAAGAGGGAAAAGGATTTTTTAATCAATCAGGAATGTGTAAATAAGGGCCAGCTATTAGATGATATTAAGGAATTACTTTTTTATTTCATTAGGTATAATAATGGCATAATAGATCTGAAAAATATCTCAGAGATACATATTGAACTATTTATTGGAAAAGGACATGATATGTGGGATTTGCTTGAAAATAATTCATAAAATAAAAGGACAGAAAGGAGAAGAAATCGATGAAACAAAATTGGCAAAATATTGATAACTTTTGAAGGTGCTGATGGGTTCTAAGAGGGAAATTTTCCACGGGAAAAAAAGTTTTTTTAAAAAAGGACATTAATGAATGCATTCCAAAACAAATCAAATAACTGTATTTTACGTTAGTATGTTCAAATAAATATCTTCTAGGCAGTAAATCAAGTTCTTAATTTTAAAATAGCTAATGTATTAGCTGTTAGTCACAAGCCTGAGACAACATAACCACTCCATGC